AATATGGTTAAAAACTCCAAATTTGAAGTTGTTCTGCAAAAACTTAATAAAATCTTCCTAACTTCAATTTCATGATTAGTTGGAGACAAAATTTGTTGTACAACACAGGCATATATGTATTGCTAAATAATGAAATTTTTTTTGTTTATATTTTTTAATTGAACAATTATGCATTTAATATATTTTATTTAATCATATTGATTTGATTGTCATTACATATTTTAACTGAATAGTTGAGATTTTAATTAAAATATACTTTCTATGAAAATGGATGAATTAATCTGCACTCAACAGAAAATTCCTAAATGATTATTACAGAAGCATATTTCTTAATTAACTTTTTGACCATTTATACATTCGTGTGTTTAGTTTTGCTGTTTACTGAGTTTAGTTCCTGTTAACATTCAAAGACAGTGTGATAATTGCAAGTATTAGCAATTTATAATCTATGAAGTTTCTATTTCTATCATCATATTACACAAATAAAAGCTGAAATTTATAATTTAATATTTAAAAACAATAATTTTTAATAATTGTAGGAATAATCTGACATAACTGATGTATTTAATGATAATTTAGAGAAAAATATTTTGAGTGAGTGTGTCAATTTTTGTATGTACTTTATACATCATAAAAATTGTCATTTATGTATATGCAGGCTTTAAATCAGAATATTGAATATTTCACTAAAAAGTTTCTATACTTTAACATTCTCAGAAAATGAAAGTATTTTATTCATAATATATATACGTATATATATTTATTTATTTATTCATATTTATGTTAAATTCATACAATAATAATCTATAGAATACTACTATACTTTTTCTCAATTTGATTCACCAGTAAAGTTTGAAGGGAATAGAAATCCAAATAAAAGATAATTGCAAAGATAATTTATTATTAGATTTGTACAAGAGGAGAAGACTTGCTCATATATGCTTCAAATCTGATAAAGTAAAATAGGACTTCAATATATGGAAAAAACTATGTGGAATAACAAAGTAAAAGAAGTTATTTTCATATTGATTTATAAAGTACTGTTAGGTTAGTCTGCATAAGGAAGATATTAACTGAAATATTCAAATACTCATCTTAATTAATTTAAGTGATACCTACTCAGTATGTATGGAAGATTAAAAAAAAATTTAAGCACAATTCTACAAGTCTTTGAACAAAACAAACAGTATTTGTATTAGCACAAAGACATATTAAACCAGTGTTTTATAACCCTTTTGTAATAGTGGCATCTCCAACTTCCTTTATATACTTTATACATATTTATAATATTTAATTTAAATTGCATACAATATTTTCAATAAAATGATCATGAAGATAATAAATTATTTATAATTTTAATTACATATGAATATACAATAACTTATAATAATACATGTTATGGTGCTGCTCATCACTATATTTCACAGCATTGTAGTATGCCATGTTGTCCAAGTTATAAATCCCTGTACTAGTTAGACAAATATATTATTCATTTACAAATTCTGCTCATTCAAATAATTTTTTTCATTCAATTCTAAAGAAAAATTAGTAAATAATATAATGTTTATCTATTTGTATTCCTTTTCATTATTATTTTAATAATAAAGCATAAATGAATTCACAATAACTTAACAGAAATATAATTTTTGTAATCTTTGTTTGTAAAATTGTCTATAAAATAGATCAAAATTTAGTTGAAAATATCATCTAAATTAATATTTCATTAAAATGTTTCATCATCATTTGAATAAAAAAACGATATCATTTTTAAGATACTGATAAAATATAGTCATAGCTAGTAGATTATAACAGCTTGCATTTTTGACAATCATATATGTTAAACAGTTATGTTACAAGTATTTTTAATATAATATTAAGAATGGTAATGTTATGCTAATGTTTAATGAGAAATTTTTCTTTTGTAAACAATATTTGTGAATAAATATATTTGTTAGGAATTTTACATTACATTTATGATTATTCTGAACTTTAAATTTGAAAACACACTATAAAATGTCCTGCTTATTATGATAAGATTTAATCTGTGGATATTATTACACAAAATATATAATCTACATGTTATTATAAACTTCATCATAGCAAGATGACTTCATTTTAAAAATAAATGTAAAATGTGAAGACTTTTCTCATTTAAACTTTTTCTGTCAATTTTTGTTGTAATAATTAGTAATAATTTAACAAACAAATATCTAGTGATATATAACACAAATTTCAGAAATGTGAAAAACCTTATGTCTAATGGAACTTTTATTGTTTTAAATTGGAAAAATTTAAATTGTGCAATGTTCATTCTTTGTTTGCATTATTTGATTTGCTTATCAAATTTGTCATTACAACCTTACATCTCATTTGGGAATGCTAAACAAGTTTTGTACACACTTATTTTTCAATATCAAATTCATTTTGTTTTCAGTTTGTACTTGCTATTTTTATTATAATAAATTTATGAAAAATAAAATAAAATAAAACAAATTCAAATCTGTTCAAACATATCAAATATCAGTATTAGAATTTTGGCATCTGTTATAATAAAAATTAATTGTTGCTCATTCATATTTTTTTGGAAATGAAAACAGTAAATATAATATACAGAAAATATACATCAAATAAAATTTTAAAGGAAATTGTATCTAGAAAAAATTACAAATAAAGTACATATTTCTTAATCAATAATCAAATTTATATATTTATTTCTTTAATTATATTTTGATTTCTCATTAACAATCAGATAAACTAGTTTGTATTCTTAATCTTATAAATACAATATATCATTACTATTTCATCTAGAAAAGTATAGTATACAGTATTATGTACTGTACATATGACCTTGTATATATGCATACACGCATTGACATATAATAATTCAACACTGCTACATCATCTTCAATAGTTTTAATATATAATTTTAGATTCATGTCCATTGATATTATTTGGTAATTCAATTCTTATTGGTTTAAAACCTAATTAGAAATTATATATACAAATAAATTTATAATTATTGCAAATGTAATTATTAGAAAACAACATATTAAGTATTTTTTAGATTATAAAAGCTATCAGAAAATAAAGTTTTAAGTAGATATCCCCATTTAGATTTTTAATGGCAAGATTTGTTTGTCTGAAAAATACAATTTATAGATGTTAATCTATATCAAATATATTTCAGAAATTATATAATCCAGAAATCAATGTGAATTCTTATCTGCTTGCTGGAAAAAATTTCAATTGTTTTCCTTCTAGCTAATCTTATCATCTTATTAGTATGAAAATAAAATTCAATTCTTGTCTATGCTTAAAACTGTTTTAAAAATTAATCAACATTTGATAAAGTTTAAAGTATATCTTTTTAAATATTTAAAAATGATATATAATCAGTCCTAGTTAAAAATGAGAATAGTATAGTGCTTTATATATTATATAAAACATTGAACAAGTAGATTAAGAACTCCTCATACAAAAAGAATTTTTATTAAAAAGAACTTATAAATTACTTGTAAATTTAAAATTGGTATTTATCATTAGTGAAACAGAAATTAATTCAATTAATTTCATTTTTTATTTTAATATTTAAATTAAATTCAGTGATATGAAATAATTTACCAAATAATCAAAATTTCTGGTACAAAATATATTTCATTGAATGTCTTTTTCATGCTAAATGAAGAATTTCATAATTGGTCACATAAACCAGTGTTTTTCAACTATTGGTCAATGAGTAAATTTCATCAATCCACAAAAAATCACTTGATAATACTGATGCTGGGGCACAATTGATTACAGGTGATAATTCAGCAGTAATCTAGAGCTACTGTAGATACTTTGTTATATACAGTAACTCTAGATAAGCATATACAAGCATAATTCATAGTTGATTATAATTACTGGTCCGTGTAAAATTATAACATAATTTTACTGGTCTGCGATAAGAAAAAGGTTGAAAAACACTGATATAAACTACTCAATCTATTATTATTAGTCAACAAAACTGTACCAGTAACAATATTTCGCTAATGGTTAACTAATGAGAAAAATAATTTAGTATTATTAATCAATATTTATAGATAGATATTAAATTAAAATTAAAATTGTCTGACTATCAGTGTGTGCCATCTTTCAGATCTGTACTTTTGATAACAAATATATTAAAATAATTTATAGGTAAAATTCTAGATACTTTTGAATAACTAATATAAAATCTCAGATAAATACTATATGATTATGAACATTTCTTTATAATGTTCATTTAAAAAACAACTTAATATATCAAAACTCATTCACAGAATTATTAAATATGTGAACAAAACTTATACATATTCAAAACAATGCAAAAATTGATACATATAAATACATATACAGATTGACACTTAATAGAGCATTTTTTTTCTAAAATCAATTAAAATATGTATTAGATGTACTGTAAAAAAATTCTTACAATTTCAGATAAATTTCAGTAATGATATGTATATTTTATTGTCTCCATTTAAAACAAATGTTTCAATTTTATTAAATTAATATTTTTTCCATCTTTTATATTTTATTCTAAAATCTGCAAAAGTAAATATATATATTTACTTTTAAAAGATAAATATTTATATATTAATCCTACTTTAAAAAACTCAAATAAGTTATTTAAATTAATTTCTGATATTCTAAATGGTATGCTAAGATATAAAATTTATTTCAAAGTGATAAATTTAATATAGTAAATCTCAAATAGCCAAGTTCTGATCTGTATTTTTCTTATTATAGTCTGATTCATTTAATTGTCAGAGATAAAATTTGATGTTTACATAGATAAAATTGTTAAGATGTATTCAACAAAGTTAGAAATCGTTTCATTAGTTCTATATTTTATGAAAATAAATTTTCAATTAAATATATCATTAGAAACTCTAAAATAAATGCTTTCTTCTAAATTAAAAAACTTGATTACTTTCATTTCTGTTAATCTTAAATAACTTTATTATACTAATTTATTATTGTTAGTAGTGAAATATGTTACTAAATAATAATAATTTACAAAATGTAATAAATCAAGTAATTTATAATTAATACTATTAAATATCTTATAACCTCTTGTGCCAAATTTTCTTAAACTTCCTTTTTTGCATTCAAAATATCCCTTCTTAATACTTATTACCAATTGGTTGTCCCAAATCTTGATGTTGAACAGGAGATTGAGGCTGAAAATTAGATCCTTGTTGTATATATTGTTGTCCTGGCATTTGTGATTGTTGAACAAATTGTTGCTGGTTAGGATATTGCATTTTAGGAGCAAAGTCATCTTGTGGAGGTGATGGGTATTTTGGTCCCATCTGTGATTGTCGTTGAAGGTGGAAATATGTCTCCTTATATACAAACCACATACTAGATGTCCACAAGAAAAAATTTGCAAATCCAAATATCTATAAAATAGAAATAAACTATAGAAATCAAATTTCATTACTATAAATATTTAAAATAAAAATTTTTTCTCAAATCTTACACTAGTATAGTTTCCTTATTAATATCTCATGAAAATAATCCATAAACAAGTTAACTGCATTCTATTATTAAATATTTTCAAAATTGCATTGACCATTTTTCTACATTCTATGTGAAATAGAATTTTAAAAAAATGATCAGAACGTTAGAAGATAGGGCATACCATATAAATATCACATCATCTTGAATATCAATTCATTGAATTAAATTGAAAAACAGATATAGAAATGTTTTTTGATTTAATTTATATTATTTTTACTTATTGGCCACAATAGCTGTTTAGTCCCTTTCAATTCTACATGCGTAACAATAATGTTGTAAACTTAATTGTGACCTATTTATATATCTGCATTTTTATCAAAAATGCTTTTAAAGAGAACAATCCTATAACATTAAACACCATGCAATCATATTGAAGGAATTCTTTTCTTACATTTATCATATCTGAATGAAATGAAAGTTAAATAATTGTCACTCAAGTCAAAAATTTGAAATTTTTTTATAATAAAATGTTGAATTCTTGTAAAAATTGCCATTCCAGCATGATTACATATAATAAGCTTTAAAGAGGCTAGTCCTTCCCATAAATACACTCACTGCCATAAAAATTATTGTGCACCACGAAAAAGTTGTCAGAATCAAATGAAATTGTTCATATACAAGTGTAATGGCAATGTAAGTAAGTGATTTCAAAAGCAAAAGGATCATTTATTGCAGGAAAAATTACAAGTGAAAGGAGGTTCTAGTACCCTGTTGGGCCTCCTCTAGCATGAATACATGATGTGATATGGGCAGGCATGGCGTAATGCTGTATGGTATCCTGTGGCATCTCAGTCCACAATTGATGCAAGCAGTCCTCTAGTTTGGCCAAAATCCTAGGCTGTCCAACTTAGCATTCCAGGTAATCCAACATGTTGATCAGTGGACAAACCAGGAAACTGGGCAGGTCAGGGAAGTGAGAGGGGCAGTCCTGCAACACCTTTGCTGTGTATGGTCAAGCATTGTCCTGTTGGAAAATGGCTCTTGGCAGTCCTGTCATCAGAGACAACATATGTGGATTGAGGATATCACTCGCATACTGCTGGGCTGTCATGGTCCCTTGGATACACTACTAGAAGTGACTGGGTGTCATATGTGATGGCACCCAAGACCATCACACCAGCTGTGTGCTGCTCCAAAGCATAGGCAAGATTGAGGTGCTCACCATGAGGCCTCCAGACACAAATATGGCCATCATCAATGCTCAAACTGAATCTGAATTTGTTGCTGTCAGTGTCCAAACTGAATCTGGTCCCAGTTTCATTCTGTTGCAGTCAATCCCATAGGGAGCAATACCACTCCAAATGGAGGAAATGGTGGATGTCAATGGCAGCCCATGTAATGGATGCAGCAATACCAGATATTCCTCACCCAGGCATCTTGAAATGGTACAGACAGACACAGAGGCCTGTAATAATGGTTCCATCTGTGTCCAGATGACAGACAACAACGCAGTTGGCTGTGTGCATGCTTGTTGGAGGGCATCCCAAACCTGAGCACCATATGTGTGAACTCTCCTCTCATCCACTGGTCCTAACACTTTCTTACAGCATTGTCAGAATGGCCTAGATGGTGGGCTATTCGACAAGATGACCATCTTGCTTCTCACAACCTGATGATCCTTCCCCTTTCAAACTCTATTAGTTGTTCATATGGTCTTTGATTGAGACATAAAGGCATCTCTAGTGATACAGCATCTCTCTGCAACTGATAAACTACAGACAGGATGCCTTTGAGTGCTTTTTTTTTATAGGCCAAGGGAGACTTTAATGTCTTCTGCTGGCATTACACAATGAGCCATCACACTAATCATTTCCATATAACTCTAATCATTTCCATATCTGTTTGAGATTTATCTGCATGCCAAGTTTTACAGCAATACAATTCCTTCTTGGTACACCAATTTTTATGGCAATGAGTGTATTTATTATCAAACAGTATACAATGTAATTCAAAAAGTTTGTCTCAAACTTAAGGAGCAAATCAAGGGGTTGAAATAAAATAATTTTCAAATAGGAACATGTGCAAATACACCATAACAATACTTTGATCCAGTCCAGCACTAGGTTACTTCTCTAGGAAAACTAACATTTTCAATCTTTTAAGATCTTTGTCAGGTATTATACTGATTCAAAAATCAAACTATTCAAAGAATAAGTTGTAATTCAAATTTGAAAGTACTAATCAAATGCATATAGATAAATGTTTGATTTAATTATGTCAACAATCATAATGAATTTGTCAGACATAAGAAATGCATTTCTCTTCTTAAAATTAATGCAGTATCCACATTGGTTAACTTGAGGGCTCCCAATTCTCTAAGCTGTTCAGTACAGATAGCACACTTTATCATACATGCTTGATCTAATTTTACTATCACTGTAAGACATATGTGGATAACTGTGGCATGCTGTGACATTTGATGATAGGGAAGCTGTGTTTCTGAAAGAAGCCGACTTCCAGTAGCAATCAGTTAACTGCATGTCAGTGATGGTCTCAGCCAGTGTTTCTCAACCTCTAATGAATCGTTGCCCATTACATAGAATCGCCCCCTTCACTTCAAAATTCCAATGCCGAGGGCCAAGGCTAACGCCAAATTCGTACTGCATTGAATAGACTAGTGACTAGTATAGTGTTATTTGTTTAATTATTGTACGATATAACAAATAAAATATCTAATTATTCTTAATATAATGTTTTACTATATCGCCCAGAGAATTGTTTTTCGCCCCCCCAAAATATAAATTGTTACTAATTGCCCTCTCAACATGGAAAAATGCCCACATGGGGGCAATATCACCCTCATTGAGAAACACTGATCTAGGCCCTCTAAGGTCCATTTGTATTTGTTTGTTTGATAAGCTAGTAAAAACCGTAGACTTCTCTAATGTATTTTTAATAGATTATTTAATGTACTTAATAAATAAACAAGTTCAATATAATTACCTCTGTTATTAGATTCAATAGATTCCCTAAGACCTCTAAATGCCAATTCTTGCTTTGATAAAAAACATATACCTAAATTAATAGATGTTATATCTATTAGCTGTAACTGTCTTGATATAATTTAATATTTATTTTATATTATTTACTAATGTTAATAGATTGTCTGTCATTTGTTTTAGGACCAGGTGTCCATGGAAATTTCCAAAATTTATAACTTTTCAGTCACTCACATTGAACTGGAAAAATTTCTGTCTTTATTACATCTAATATTACAAAGAAATCAGTCTCCACTGTACTTGGCTAGAGATTGGTTCAGTTAAGTTTGCTTCAGTTGCCATTTCTTAATGAAAAATTGTAGCCATGCCTACTTTTCAGTTGTTCCATTTCTTTCATTCTTGATGGTCATTTTAATTCTTAAAATTTGAAAAACCTTTGAAATATGTGACAGTTTCTTTTTTGTATCATTTTAATACTGTATATTGCACCTCTTCCACTATATACTGAAAATTTAAAATATTTTCAGGTTTTTTGAAAAGTACAGTAAATTCAAGAAAGAATATTTAAATGAACTACTTTTTAAAATGAAAACTATAAAACCAATTTTATCACTTAGAAGCTAGTATTATAGTACAAGCAATGCAAGCCAATAATACTTGAAGGAATGGATAACACTGAAAGCAAAACAAGTAAAAAAAGAAAAGGATTTAATCACTGCAATGCTCCTCAAAATAAGAAGCTACTAACAAAATATGAATGTAAAAAATGTGAAAAGGCAATTTGTTTATCTCACACAAAAGTCTTTTGTACAATATGCAGTATAAATGTGATGAAGCGTAGTGAATGGTTAATACAGAAAAATCTTTCCATAATATGAAAAATACAAATAAATCGTTTTTATAGAGTTTAATTTTTCATGAAAAAGTATAATAAAGTATATGTGAATTTCATAGAGATTAATTTGTTAATTTGTACATTGTTATTGGTCTTTTAATAATGACAATGATTTAAAACTAAACAATGTATCAGAAATAACAATATTTTTAATGTACTGTAAAAATTCATAAAATATTTGCTTAATTATCAAACGTTAAAAATAGTAATAATTTTGATTCATTGTGCCATCTTTATGATTTTGTGATAATCTGGACTAATTAAAGAAAATATACATCTAAAAAAGGGAAACAATGCCAAGATGCAATTAGTGTATGTTAACTTTCAGACCTAAGAGAGTTTTGACTTAAGCTTGCTCAGCGTCGAAAATGACACCTTTTCCTTGACCTCCCCATTTTTGCCATTCTAATATACGACAGAATGGCCAATTCAGGGAGTCGTCACCAATTCCTCCAATGGTCTAGTCATGTCTGAGTATCACCTACTTCACTTATGGATATTCCACCTACTACTCCTATGGATACTCCATTAATTGTACCTATGAACACTACTACTCCCTCACCTACCATTTCATTCCTAAGTCAAATTAGTGTAATTTAAAACTTTTCCTGAAGAATCCCGAATGATCCTTGATTCTCCAGTCAACAAGCATCAAACAATCTACATAAAGCAACAACCTCCACAACAAGGTATTTATCAACCACAATCACTTTGTGAACTCTCTCTCTTGCATTTAACAACTTGCAACTAAATGGACTCGTTAGAATGTATAATTCTCTATATTATAATCATTTTTTGAAACAGGAAACCAATTACACGAATAATTTTATTAAGGCCCTGCATTGGACATGTGCATAACTGCGATGTTCGATTTTTTCAAACTCTTGGAATCAAACCTGATGATGACCGTTGAAGACAGTAGAAAACATTTGTTTTTGAAGTGAATTTATGCTGGTTTGTTGGTAATTTCGTAGTTATTTTGATATTTATAATCATATGTTTGTTTTGTTTAATCTGTAGTGAGTGCAATTCCTTCCATTATGCTGTCTCTAGACCTTCTCCATCCTGAGTCCAACTGCCTATGCATGTGACTGCTTGTGTAAAATAAATAAACTTATGGCCTTAGAAGTTTCTGTGTCTTTGGAAAAAATGCAGCAGTGTCAGTCCTGATATAGTCTTCATCAACATAGTGTTGACCATTTGGTCAAGTGGTGCAGAAGCAATAGGGGATGCTTCAAGCATTATTACAATTTTATATTGTGCTTGATGTAAGATTAATAATTTTTCATTAAAAAAATCTGGAGGTATAAGGTCCAGGTATCAAGGTGGCCATGCTATTTGCTCCCTCAACCAATCCACCAACCTGAAACAGACACTGAGATATATAGCACATTTCAATGTAACAAGGAGATGCACTGTCTTACTAGATGTGAAAGAGTCCTTGGTTATCTTTGTATAATTGTGGAATGAAGAACTGATGAAGCATGTCTAAATACATGATACTGGTAACAGTATTCTCCATGAAAAAGAAGACACCTTTTTTTTTGCTAAGAGCACAAAACTCATTTAGCTTTGGACTATCATAAACATGTTCCAGAGAGGTACATGGATTTTTGCTATCCAAATCCTGCAGTTGTGGGTGTTGGCATCACTGTTGACATGAAATGTGTCTCATCACTGAAATTTACAGAATCCAGAAATCACTCATTATCACTTATCCATTGAAATATTTGCATATAGAATTTCCTACATTTTATATGGAAAGTTTTATTCTGTTCACACAATATTTGTCATAAGTAATTAATAATATATATTAGACACAGTATTTTATGGCATATAAGACACTCCCTCATTTTAGCATAAATATTTAGGAAAAAGCATTTAGCGTATTTAAGCCATCCTTTGTGTTTTCAGCAGTAAGCCCCAAAATTTTTACTGTATTCTGGTTTAAAAAAAGTAAAATTAAAATGCACACTTTTATTTATCAGGGTAAAAAGGAGTTTAAAACATTTAAAATTAAAATTTATCATTAAATTATTTAACATAACTACATACAAAAGCTGCTTAACTACAGAAAAAATAAATAATATGTTTAATTTAACAGTAAAATTTTAATGCAAAAGTTGGGCTAGGTAGAAGTTACCTGTAGCCTACTGAAGGTGTTTGGAGAATTCATTAGCCTATGATAGATTGCAGCTTCCACACATAAAATGCAAGGCAATTTTTTGAGCTTTTTTCAGACAAACGTTGCATCTTATGCCATAAAATATGGTATATTTTTTACTATATTTCTGTTTATTTTATGCTTAAATTTTTACTTTGTATGCATTAATTCAAAATAAAATTTTTTATAATAAAAATTTTTATTTTAATTCAATTCATTTCAAATTAAAATAATTTTCATGGTCAAAGTTGCATAATCCTAGAAATTCCTGGGACTTGAAAACAAATGTCACAAATCCTAAGAGTAGAAAAATACCCAAGATCCAAAAATCCTAGTGGAGTTGAATAATGAACACACTGTAATATTAAAACATTTCAGTTTATTTATTATTCTACTAATATGTAGTGTGCAAATAAAAATCACTTTACAATGAAATGAAGTTTCTTTAACATAATCCTAATTCTTGAAGAATGAGAAAGCAACATTTTTAAGAGTGACAATTAAACTGCTAGTTTATAAGAAAAATGCAAGCAATAAACAGGAAAAGTGATTGTTTTCTAAAGAAACATACGGCCAGAAAAGTATGTAAGACTGTAAAAGTCATTCTTCAATTTATAAAATAATTTAAATGAGCAATTATTTATTGTGACAACATCACAATACTGGGCTGCAATTTTTTATTTACTTAATTTAAAATACGAGGGCTGTTCAAAAAGTATCGGACCTTTGGTTGGCAAAAATACATTTATTGATTTTGAGGTACAAAACCCTAATCCCCTTCAAAGTAGTCTCCTTGGTAGTGTATACACTTCTCCCAGTGCTCCTGCCATTGCTGGAAACACTGCTGGAACGCAGTTTTTGGAATGGCCATCAGCCGGTCCATCGCATTCTGCACAATGTCTTCTCTTAACTCAAATCGGGTTCCTTTTAGCAGCATTTTCAGCTTGGGGAATAGCCAAAAGTCACACGGAGCCATGTCAGGAGAGTACAGAGCGTGATGAACCACAGGAATGTTGTGTTTGGCAACAAAAGTCTGAATTAGATGCGCAGAACGGGCGGGTGTATTATCACGATGGAGCTGCCAAGTTTTGGTTGACCACAGATCCAGTTGTTTGTGTCGCACAGCATCACAAAGATGATGAAGAACCACCTGGAAGTACTCCTTTGCAATGGTTTGGCCTTGTGGTGTGTACTCATGATACACCACTCCATGGGAATTGAAAAAAACTGTCAACATGACCTTGATATCGTTGCGGACCTGTCGCACTTTTTTTTTTACCTTGATATCGTTGCGGACCTGCCGCACTTTTTTTTGGCCTCGAGGATCGTCCCCAAAAGCCTGCTGAATCTTGGAAATGGTTTCCACTTGGGCAGTGTTTTTCAACTTTCTTGAATAAGCGACCCCTTTACAAGTTAAAAAATTTTGGCGACCCCCATGGCCATATTTAAACTATGTCAGTGATTTTAAAAACTATGTATTTAAGTTTCTTTCTTAAATAAGACTTAAATATTTAAGTTTCTTTCTTTAAAGACTTAAATATTGATCAAAAAACCAATTGTACTGTAAAATAAACAGACACAGACTTCTCACTGAGATTGTAGTTATTTTTATTGTAGTGTAGAACCTAAAAACACTTGTTTTTTTCTTTTACCCGCGATCCCCCCGTGTAAGACTTTGCGACCCCCTGGGGGTCGCGACCCACAGGTTGAAAAACACTGCACTTGGGCATCGCCAAGGTTTTTGGAAAAATTTGATGCAATATAGCTGCTCACGTTGTTCAGTCATTTTCCAACTTAGTGGAATCTGACGAGAGCTCACTACACGTCCTCACTCATAGGCCGACTGCCAGCAACTGACGCTAGCTGCAGGCTGGAAAAAATTCAGGACTGTGCATGACTGTCCCCTCCACAACTCTGCTGAAAGAGGCCTCCCGCGCATCATTGGTTTACGCGGGAAAAATAAAGGTCCGATACTTTTTGAACAGCCCTCATACATGCTCTCCACCTCAAATTAGTACTGTAGTGTCTTGCTCCTATACATCATACTTTTCTGCTAACAATGGAGTCATGCCAGTCATCTATCTAACTCCTTTCTGGGAAAATGTTTTGAATTGAAACAACATGATTTCAGTTTGCATCAGAAGTTCATATATAGTTAATCGGGGCCTCTGCCCCTAAGCTCTCTATCTGTAGTCTTGACTTTCATATATCTAACTCTGTTCTCGAGATTAAGGAATGATAGACAGGCAAATGGACGAACGACAGTGGGAATTTATAGGTCTACAATTTTTTCAAATTGCAGCCCAATAATGATGAAAAGACTGGCTAATTGTTTCAGCTCAATAACAAATCCAAAGGAATAACATAGTCATTATTAAAAATACTTTTAAATTTTAATCTAATTCATTATATATAATTCATAAAAAAACATTTACAGTTGTTTATTACTACAGGTATACCTCGCATTACGTCGGTAATTGGTTCCAGGAAAACAATGTAAGTCGAATTTACCTGTCTCCGAATCTACTTATCACTAGGAAAGCATTTTAAATAATATATGGTTAATAAAAATCTATTTTAAGCTTACAAACAAATAAATTTTAGTTTTTAATATAGTACAAAAAAAATAATCTAAATTTACGAATGCATGTACTGTAAATACAGTACATACTTCTATATATTTTAATATGTTTTATGTGCTTTAAACGTTTATCTAGTGATATTACGACTTCAATATTTGTGGTGGACAGACGTAAAGTCTAATAAAATGACTTAAACTTGATTTTTATTTTTCCATATACTTTTTTAACAAGCGGCGTATAATCGGGAACGACGTAACTCGAAACGACGTAAGTCGAGGTATGCCTGTACTCTTCTAAAAGCTTTAAAATTGAACAATAAAATTAATAATTGTAATAACTGTCTAAATTATATTGTAAAAATTTTAAGTCATTTTTTCACTATTATAATGCCAACCATCTAGTAATTTTTATTAATTCATTAAAATGCATATGTTATTTCTTTGTTTTTATTATTTTATTAAATGTACAAGTATTACTTTGTCCTAATTTGGATTTTTGTAAGCTGTATTTTCTCTGAATAAAATATATATAAGTTTGAATACAGGAATATGTATATTAAAATAAACAAAAATAAAGAACACAAAATTTCATACACAGTTCATACTTTGAAATTAATATTAATGCTAAAAAATATGTAATGAATATAAAATAAGACTTACTAGAGACACATTTAATGAAGCAAAATTTCCACTTGATACTGTCTTGCATGTATTAGATGTTTTACAAACATCCAAATACTCAAAGAAATTGCTTGGATTGGTGTAATATTTTAAATCACTAACTCCTTGAGACCAAGCACTTGAGCCTGCCAACCAAAATATAGCCAAAACACCAGTTGCACCTAAATCCTTAAAAATAAATTTAAAATTTAACATAAGCTAATTTATGTTATGTATATTTTATAAAACTATTGATATTTTGTATTTAAAACACTAAATTTCTATAATATCAGTAAAATGACAAAAAAAAATCAATTTTGTAAATTCTAGATTACTGATTCCCATTTCTGGTATACTTGGACAATCATTTGAAGAGTGCAGGACATTTAATTATTGAATATTAAAAGACCAGGCAACAAATCATTTGTGATTAATCAGTCAATCATGGAGCTACTTTTGAAGTCAAAGCATCAAAATCTTATGAACATTATTATTAATGTTCAAATGTTAGAAATTAAACAGTAAATGTCAATAACTGTCACATTTGGACTTTGCAACAGCCACATACATGTCAACAGACTCTGCTGCATTCATCTACACTCAATAGGATGTAGCTTCACAAATAGACAAAATAAGGTGCGTTTCAAATTTATACGGACACGAAAAAATTAAAGTGAAACCCAAATTTGCTGCATTAAGTGACAAATGTTTTATTAAAAATGTTCCCACACATTATGTTTCCACACTGCAAAATAAGAATTTTAATCAAACATTAACATTTTGTCACTGAAAATAATATTTTTGAAAATTTTGTACAAAAAACTGTTACATATTTATCCGGACAGGCACTCATTTCATGAGTTAAATAGAATATTGTTTAGTTTCAAGCATTGAAATATATAAATCAGCTTACATATCTAATTGTAATACAAATTCTTTATGTTGTTCAACGTTCTAAAATGGGTAGAACAAAGAATTTATCTGATTATGAAAAAGAGCAGATTGATGCCTATAAATCACAAGGCAAGTCAATAAGAGAAATTGCAGCATATATAAATCATCCAAAATCAACTGTTGGTGATTATTTATCAAAAAGACGTGGCTAGAATGTATCAAAATTCAAGACAGGTCCAAAACCCGAGCTTATACCTTGAGATTGAAGACAAATCATCAAGGTTTGCTCCACTAAACAAACATCAGAAAAATAAAACAAGAATTACACTTACCTTGTAGTAGCACAACAGTGTAAAGAGTTTTAAATAAATCTCCAACATTAAAATTCAGAAAAAAAGCTATAATGCCACCACTTTCATTAAAGCACTAAAGTGACAGACTTGATTGGGCACAAAAACACATGACATGGTCCAAAGAATGGATTGAAGTTTTGTTCAGTGATGAAAAAAAATTCAACTTAGATGGTCCAGACGGTTGGAAGTATTATTGGCACGATTTAAGAACCGAAAAACAAATATTTTCAAAACGCCAAATGGGTGGGGGATCAATAATGGTGTGGGGTGCGTTTGGATTCAACGGAACCACAGATTTAGCATTTATAACTCAAAGAATGAATTCAAAGAAGTATCAAGGCATGCTTGAAGATCATTTATTGGAAGCTGGACCAAATATTTGTGGACCAAATTGGATCTTTCAACAAGACAATGCCCCTGTGCATGCCTCTAAATCAACAAAAATGTGGTTTAAACGTAAAAATATTAATCTGATGACATGGCCTGCTAGAAGCCCTGACCTGAATCCGATGGAAAATCTTTGGGGGATGATGGTTCGTACAGTTTATGCCAATGGAAAGCAGTTTTCCACAATTCATGATTTGAAGGCAGCAATTTCAGATGCTTGGGATAAACTTAAGATTGAATTCCTTCAGAATCTAATTGAAACAATGCCTAATCGAGTATTTAATGTAATTAAGTTAAATGGTGGTTACATTGACCATTAAATTGTAAGAAAACTTTGTGGTTTGAAACCTGTCCGGATAAATATGTAACAGTTTTTTTGTACAAAATTTTCAAAAATATTATTTTCAGTGACAAAATGTTAATGTTTGATTAAAATTCTTATTTTGCAGTGTGGAAACATAATGTGTGGGAACATTTTTAATAAAACATTTGTCACTTAATGCAGCAAATTTGGGTTTCACTTTAATTTTTTCGTGTCCTTATAAATTTGAAACACATCTTAATATAACACAATAAAATCTTCAAGCTAAAAATCAAAAAATGTTGATATAAAACAGTTTTATTTGAAAAAAATCAATTCTATACAATAAGTTTTTATACTATAAACTTTCTTAACAGCTACATTTGATAAATTTATCTTCAAAATTCAAATAAAAAAATTCAATTTTCATAGTTATTAAATAAAATATTATTAAAGATTTTAAGGAAGATGCAGTATTTGAAAGAAATATAATTTTCAATTTTTGTCTAAATTAAAATTCTTAATATGTTAAAAGGTTATATTTTAAAAAAGGTAATGTTAAAAAACTTCTTAAAAACACAACCTCGAGAAAATATCCTTCTCTGTCTTTACAGATTTTCAAGGAGAACTATAGACTACAACTTTCTTCTAAAAGGAACCAGCTTCATTTAATATTACCTCCAAATGTGTTTTGCCCTGACTATAACAGGGCTTCTTCAGTGGATATAACATCACAATCCATAGCAATATTTGCTTCACAAACATTATGATTTTGATAACAAACTATCTTGCATGAAGATATACTTATATCCCTGTCTACATTATCCCAACATGCATCTACACTCATGTCAGTGTTTAAATTATTATTATTATTCTGCATAAAAATTGTGTAGTGTTCTTTAATTCTTATTTTTATGATATTCTTTTCTTTATACACAATTTTTATGTTATTTACATTGACATTACAATTATTTTTCTGACAATGATGAAACCACAGTGAGTTATTATTGTTTAGTCTTATTGCTGTCATTGCTCTAACAATTACTTTCCCAAATGAGGCTTAGTTTTCCCAACATAATATTTCAATTGGACACACACACACTAGTCTGTACACAATATCTGATCCTTTTTGTTTGTCTGTTTCTTTCCTTGAATTCTCTGCTGTTAATTTAGTTAACTTGTTGTTTTTTTTTTGTTTTGAGATGGACATGTGTATGCCATGTGCTCTGACAAGTCGTTTACCAACAGTAATAGTTATACTGTCAATATACTATTACTCTGTGAACACCGGATAACACCAGTTGTCAATTTTTACCGTTTCATCTTTTGTCGGGAATAATACATATTAACTAAAAATTAAGTGTTCATAGATACTTTGAAATTAATAATCTGTGTTATATTTTTTATATAAATGATGTGTTAAACAGCAATGCTCTTTACATTTTTCATATTATAGAAAATAGTCATACAACTATGTAATAAAAATATAGTCACACAATTCTATGTTGTACCATTATATGACATGCAAGTTTTTTATTTTATTGTTTATTCCTCTTTTTTTTTACATCATACTTACCAATGTCATGAAACTCACCTTGTTTTTTTGTAATTTTAACAGCACTGAAGAGGGGTTGGGAATACAAGCCAACCCGAAATGCATCTGAATTAAAAAAGTGTTTTAAATAAACTGTAACGTTTTTCTAACTAATTCCTGTTTGATCGTCTTCCAAAATTATTGTTTGGATTGCAAGGACGCTATACACAGAATTTGAAGGTACAGCAACCATACCTTCTACACAATTTTCTTTTTAACAACTTTCATTTTTTGTAACAAATATGTAAGAGTGATTAAAAACAGAACGTCTGAAATGTTTTGTTTTTACCAATGACATTTCTCTCTTACTTGTAAATGATTGGCTGCTCAAAATTAGCAATTGCTTTTTGCAGTCTAGACCAGTTTCACATTTATTTTTCACTATTTGCTCAGTGTGAACTAAGTTAAGCTACTCCAGCTTCAAATTTCCAGGTTCTAGTAATTTTTAAAATATAAGGATATTCCACCTTTGAATTATCCAAAAATTACAAAAAGATTTGAATTAAACAGGTAATTTTATATTTATTAGGAAACTCAAGGGAAATCTGTAGAATCCAAATTATCCAAAAATTTGAATTAATTAATGAAGTTTGACTGTATTTAAACTTCTGGATATGTTTTACAAATATAATTTTATTTTTCGTAATTTTGATGAGAAATAAATTTTTAAATTTTTTACATAAATTATAATTCATATAAATTTACTTTTTACAAGGAGACAGCCAGACAATGTTCTTTTCGATTCAAATAAAACTTGGCAAGTACATAGCCCTAAACACAAACAGTTCCTTGTCCAAATAATAGGACCCACTTCTTAAGCATTTCCAAACAATGGACCTCTGAAAATTGAGTGTTTAGCTTATGTCTGGAAGTTCTACATATCATAAGAATGGCAGTAGCCAAGTGGATAAGGTTGAAGACACTGAAATTACTTGATATGAGCTCAATTCTAGGTGACTTCAGTCTTTTCTTTTCTTTTCTTTTCAAAAAAAAAGGTAACAGTTATTTTATTATTTTAGTGTATCATTAGCATTACGACTTCCAATCACTTAACACTGCGTTGAATAATAATCGTTATGACAGTCAGGAGGAAACACAGTCAGTCACCATCTGAAGCAGACCTCAGTGAAGGTCGAAAGTGTTTGTGGAGTTTACTATGGACATAACACTTGTAAAAAAAGGTTACGTGGATTGTTATCATTAGCATTATTATTACTATTCTTATTCCTCACATTTAGAGCTTATAAAACAAGATTAGAAAAAATGTTTTCTGTTTAACAAAAACAAAGTTTCTGTAGATTTAACTCTTTTACGTCATTAAATAAAATTTTTACTTCTTCATATTTATTTTCAGATATTTTAGCTCATGGTTACATACTCTGTCAACACAAGAAAATAAGCTTCAGATGTTACTGCTCATAAACGAAAAAGATAACTCCCTGATATGAAAATAGGACAGCATTTTTCTTTTAATTGTTAATGTTATGGACAATTCCTTCATGAATTTATGTTTGTTACACTTCAAATAAAACAATACACCATATCTGAAGTTACGTGAGGAATAAGAATAGTAAAAAATAATGCTAATAATACAGTAAAATAATAAAATAACTATGTTACATATTAAAAAATAAAAATGAATAAAACTTGCAAAGGATCG